GAAGAAGAGGAAGAAGAGTATGTGATCTCTTCTTGATTCTTTTTTTTTTCTTTGTCGAAGTCTCTTGATTGTGACGACCACCAAGACTTGTTCTTATACATTTGCAAATATGGTTTTCAAACCTTTAAATAACTCTATATTTGAGCACCTACAGTTGGTTGACTTCTACGTGCTTACACGTTCACAACCTTCGGTTGATGTTTTATACAACAAAAATTGCACGTTCAAAATCTCCAAGAATTAACAAAGTTGGTGGTGACTTGAGTCAAAGCTTGTCTCCATCTCTGGTTGTTTTCCTCTGTCTTCACATCACAAGTTTCCTCAAAGACCTTCCCGATATCTCCAGTCTGTGTCTTCTTACATCAGACGAATCCACATCGTACAAGATTGTCATAACAGTCTGTCCTAAAGTAACCATGATTAACTGCAACTCGTTTAGATACCCTCTTGAAGAGGCGTAATTCTTAGAGAGGATCATGACGGCAATCCTTGATTCCCTAATAGCTCTTATGAGCTCAGAGTTGATAGACTTGCTTTGATCCCATTGTCTATGAACGTGCTTATTCCATTGCTTTTCAACCCTTCAAGAAAGTGGCTGACGAAGCTTCTGAGGACGTCTTGACCAGAGAAGCTTGGGAATGCGTCGTAGATGTATTGACGTGTTGATGATACTGATGATGAGTTTGTCAGATACGAGACTCCAAATCATCTTTGTATTTGGTTTAGTGATGAGAAGATTGCTCCAGCTAAAAGAAACTTAATCTTCTCCTTTCAGTTTATTATATTAGGCCATTCAAATATAGATCAATCTCTGCATGGATCGCTTATAAACAACTTCTCTTTGTCTGGCTCATTACAGAGAAACCGAGCTAGTGCAGAAAATCAGGTAAATTTCCCCTTGAAACCAAGTTATCACTTTCATCACAAGAGGTTCCATTGGTGGAGTTTGTGATTAGTAGATGGTAAGAATCTYCAAAGTTGTGATGGATTTTGTGATTCGTAGACTTGTTAATTACAAGCTGCAAAGTTGGGATAATGAGGTGGTAACAGGTTTAAATATAAAAAGAAAAAAGAAAAAAAGATACTGAGGGATTTACCAATCAGGCAACAACCAAGAGTCTTGGTCCAAGACTTTGTACCAACGTTAATTCATATATAATGGTTAATTTACCAATCATCAGAAAATAAACTTTCCTCTCCGTTTATTATATATTACATGCCTGTACACAAAAATCTAACCCGATCGATGTACAAGGAATTCAACCCCATATAGGATTTTTATAACAACGGTTTCCAATTACACAAACATACGGGATATGCAAATGCTCAATATGTATTACCTCGACTCCTGTCTCGGATAAGTCTAAGATCTCCACACTTGCAGGGAAATGTGGTAATGTTTTAAGGTTTTTGCAGCCTGCCATTTCCAAAGAAACAAGACGTGAACATAACTTGATTAGTGAAGGCACACTCTCTATCGCAGTTTCCCCAAGAGACATGAATTGAATCTGCGATGAAATGAATGGAAAACTCTTCAATTTTGAGCATCCTCTCAGATTTAGGACACTGAGGGATTCCAAGTTGATGTTGGTTGGAAGAGTCTTCAGTTTTATGCAAGAAGACATGTCCAAGACTTTGAGCCTGTTAAGATTTTGTAGAGAAGAAGAAGGAACTGTGACCAAATTTTTGCAGAACTTAAGATACAACTTCTCCAGATTTGTTGCTCTTGAGAGGTTTGGAATATCTTGAATGTTTGTGGATGCGCTCAAATCCATATACTTGAGACTTGTCAGTGGCTGGAAACAAACACAGTCAGAGGTACATTATAAAGAGACACTAGATTTTAGCATAAGAATCTTTGATATGATTAGCATACCTGAATACCTTCCCAAAGCTTCTCAAGCTTGCTATCTCGCATAGTAAGTTCGACAAGAAATTCGGGACGAAACTTGGAGGGCATACATTTAAACGGATACAAATCCCAATGTAGTAATCTAAGCTTACGTGGTAGATAGTCCAAGCCATGAGGTAAGTACAACTTGACTGCTTCATCTCGCAAATTCTTGTATAGCCTCAAGAATTGGAGATTAGGCATTTTCTCAAAGGCTTTTTCACTTATATACAGTTGATGGTCGATTTCAGAAATATCTAATGATATTCCTAAAACAGTTGGTGTACCCTGCAGATTGTACCAAAAGAAAGACACAGTTAGTTAGTTAATATATTAGCTAAAGTGTACTTTGTGATGAATGTTTCAACACTTCTATCACAAAGAATGTTTGAGCACTTACAGTTTCGTCCGTAAGTACATCTGAAATCTCCAAAGCATCAACTAGAAATTTACGTTTCCCGGGCTCGTGAAGACACTGTCCCCGAGTAATTTCTTTACCCATTTGTTGTAGCAAACAATGCATTACTATATATCCATCAGCACAAACATGTATAAGAGATCTGTCAACAAGGACTTTAAGTCCAAATTCTGCATCCAAGGCACTCCTCGCTAGCAATTGTTTCACACGATTAACATTCTCGCCATTGAACAAGCACGCAATATGAAGAAAGAGAACCTTATCTTTCTCATCTAACCCATCATAGCATACTCCGAATAGGTTTTCTATTTTCCCATTTAGAGTATTTTTAAGTCGCGGTAGCGTGTTTATCCACTCCTCCTCGCTCATTCCTCGCAAAGATGCGCCTAAGATGCTGAGGCCTAAAGGAAGATCTCCAGCAAGTTTTGCAACTTCAACAGCTAGATCATAGTAGCCTTCTGGTGCCGAGTTTTGTCCAAAAGCAGATCGACATAAGATTTGAAAGGCTTCACCTTTAGATGGAAAACCCACTTCATAGACATGATTAATCCCATGAGCTTTCAATAGCTGTCTATCTTCTGTAATCACAATAATCCTGGTTCCATTACCAAACCATTGAGTTTGATCTGCCAAGGCATGTAGTTGTTCTAATTCATCTACATCATCGAGAACAATAAGAGCTTTCTGGTTCTTTAGCATTTCTTGTGCTACACCTAAATGGCTTATCTTTATATTCCTCTGGTTGAATATATCAGAGAGAAACCGTTCTTGTAAATGCAACTTCAATCTATAACCATCAAATTCGTTTCTCTTATACCTTCCTTTAACATTCTCCATGAAAATATTCAGTTGAAAATCATCATCAGAAGAAAGCTGATTGTATAAAGCTCTGGCGATGGTGGTCTTACCAATTCCAATAGGACCCCAAATCCCAATCATCCTCACTTCATTAGACAGTACACATAACATCGATTTCAACTTCTCAACATGAGCTTCCAATCCAACTAAATCGTCGAAATCCTTTGAAGGAGTGCAGCAATTCAGGTCTTCCGAAACATCCGCAACAATTTTTTCAATCATACTTGCTTCATTGTTCCTGATAAAGAGAAACCATTGAATCCAACAAATGATATACGAGGAATTTGAAAATTCATATATTGTGAACAGCAAGAATCAACTTCAAACGAAAACAATGAAGAAAAAAACATGATTTTTGATTATTGCACTAACCATTCTTTAGACGAATAGCCAGAGACATTGGCAATACTGATTAAAGCTCGCTCCCATCTCTGCCTTTCTTGAACTGTTCTTCCGAAGCAAGTTTTCTCAAAGGCCTTTCCAAAAGCTCCTTTCTGTTTCCTAACATCAGATGGATCCACTTCATAGAAAATCGTCAGCAATTTATGTCCCGTGGCTTCTCTGCGATCCATGATCTCTAGCAACTCGTCCAAGCACCAGCTTGAACCAGCGTAGTTTCTCGAGAGAACGACTATAGAAACCCTTGATTCCCAGATAGCGTTTCTGAGTTCAGGCCATATGGATCGGCTTCTCTTGATTCCATCATCTTTGAATGCATTGATTCCCCTAAGTTGTAGCTCCTTTTGAAGGTGGCTTAGAAAGTTCCTACGGACATCTTCTCCACAAAAGCTCGTAAAGACATGGTATATCCGACAATGAAAT